CCCCCTGACCTATCATCGGCAACATACGGTAATCTCAGTAAACATCCTTTCTGAGGACTAGCCCCCCTGACCTATCATCGGCAACATACGGTAATCTCAGTAAACATCCTTTCTGAGGATTAGACCCATAGCCTATCTTTTTACACAACCAATAACATTTTACACAACCAATACAATTTTATTGGTTGTAAAAAGAACTTCTCATAATCCATACTTACCAACATGAAGAAAATGTTTAGAACCCCCCGCCCCCGCCAAAAAAAAACCCTGGCCTATAATCGGTAACATACGGTAATCTCAGTAAACACCGTTTCTGAGGACTAGCCCCCTGACATATCATCAGCAACATACGGTAATCTCAGTAAACACCCTTTCTGAGCACTAGCCCCCTGACATATCATCAGCAACATACGGTAATCTCAGTAAACACCCTTTCTGAGGACTAGATCCCCTGACCTATCATCAGCAACATACGGTAATCTCAGTAAGCACCCTTTCTGAGGACTAGACCCCCTGACCTATCATCGGCAACATACGGTAATCTCAGTAAGCACCCTTTCGGAGGACTAGCCCCACTGACCTATCATCGGCAACATACGGTAATCTCAGTAAACACCCTTTCTGAGAACTAGCCCCCCTGACCTATAAGTTAACACTGATTCCATCGGTAACACCGAGTTTACATCGTAACTAAGCGCCTGACAAACTGGGCTACACGCGGTAATCCAAATTCAAATTAAAGAAGTGATCCCTTTTTTCAGAGTTTCTAGTTAATTACCAAATTCAACTGTTTTATCTTTCTGTATCTTATTACCAGTTCTGACTGACCACTGCATCGTTTCTGTCAAACAGATTGATATCTTTATGGAGTACACAGGTAGACAATAACATGTTTGAATATTTTATAGGATATCTGATATGATAAATTATGCACAGATCAAAGACTGACAGAAGCAGACGCAATTACTACAGTGCTGAATCACTCATCATTGGCGGTAGTTCAGGTCATGATCCTAGGTCCACAGGGTAAAACCTCGGTACAGAATTTCCACGAATGATAAAAGTGCCAACATGATTCTCTTGTTTTAGTATAATTTCATTTTTAAAATCGATATAAACTGACGCTTTTTCCTAGATTTAATGATTCTTACGATTTTACTTTTGTTTTTCAAAATGCTCGTTAGCATACTAAAGAGTTGGAAATATTTCATTTTTTAAAAAGTGTAATGGTTAGCTTGTATTGTACTTAAAATCTACGAACTGCTACTGTACGGTGAATGGCCGCCTTGCTAAAGCGCTGATAACTGGACAGGGATGCAGGGATACACTGATGGAGTCTTAAATGACGATCAAAGTATGGTAAGTATATAGTATTATTTAAAAGTGAAGTCAAAGAGACCAACACGGTATGGTAAATATACTCGTGAAGTCTGACTGGGTGACCAAAGTATGGTTAGTATACTTGTGAGGTCTGACTAAACATTAAAGTATGGTTAGTTTACTGGTGAGGTCTGACTAATCATTAAATTATGGTTAGTATACTGGTGAGGTCTGACTTATCATTAAAGTATGGTTAATATACTGGTGAGGTTCGACTAATCATTAAAGTATGGTTAATATACTGGTGAGGTTCGACTAATCATTAAAGTATGGTTAATATACTGGTGAGGTTCGACTAATCATTAAAGTATGGTTAATATACTGGTGAGGTTCGACTAATCATTAAAGTATGGTTAATATACTGGTGAGGTTCGACTAATCATTAAAGTATGGTTAATATACTGGTGAGGTTCGACTAATCATTAAAGTATGGTTAATATACTGGTGAGGTTCGACTAATCATTAAAGTTAAGTAAGTATTGCTTTATCATCAAAGTTAAGTAAGTATTGCTTTATCATCAAAGCATGACATTATACAACGTCCACAACCAAACTAAAAACGTAATATGGAGATGTCTTACCGTAAGCTTAGGGTATGACACGTGCTGCACGTGTTTGCCATTTAACACCACTGCACGTAACCTGTCCAACACTAGCCAAAGAGTATGTCCTTCATTCTGAATGTCACATTTAAATAACGTTTAAACTTCCCCATTTCCGTGTTCTTGTTACCATCAGTGTCGGGTCGTACCCTTTTAGTCGTTCCAATGCCCTGTTGGGGTGATACCAGTTCATTTTGTACATACAGCAAAGTTCGGCGTTTTGTTTTTTGAGATTCTTAACAGCAACCTCTTCATCAAGAACCCAGCAACTCTGCACTGTAATGCAGACATGGCTTACTCACGGGGTGTACTCGAACGCTCGGGGAGATCTTTTGTTTACATCCTGGCACGGGTCGATTATATGAATTATGCATAACAAGATGCTCACCTATAGAGATCCGCATGAACCCCGAGGTAATAGATTCACTCAAATACAATAATCATGTATTATATTACAATTAATGTAAAAAAATCGACATCATTGCGTGTGACTTGCTCTCATTTATTGCTGTAGTTGGAGTAACATTGATCAAAATTCAACGAAATGTTGGCAAACACTGCATAGCGTGTCAAACGTGGCAACCATCAGTGACATGACCATAGCCTATTAAGGGTGGCATTTTTACGGAGTGTGTGTTGATGAATCAGAGGTCTTCAATGTATGACCACATCGCTCTGTTCACTGGAAACCGTCTTCCTTTTGATCTTATCACTGATTCATCAGAATCACTATCTACAGATGAAGGACACGCGTACTAAGATATTAGTATATGATAGAAATTCACGTATTTGATAATGACTATAATAACATTAATATTTTAACAAAGAAAAACGACTTATTTGATAATGATAACAATATCAATATTAACATAAAAAAATAATAAAAAAATACTGAATATTTGATTCACACTGGTACGCATAACAGTCTAAAATGGGTTTATTTTTCATGATAAAACAGTCGGCTCCAAGCAGGCCAAAGGGATATGTTTTGATCATCAGAATAAATATTGAACAGAAATTGTTTACCTGCATTATATGCTGCGATTTGTAATTGTTTAATGTTAACGTTTTCACTGTTTTATATTTTGTGATGTGAAAATGTTTTATGATGGTGTCTTCATGCCCCGGAAATTTTAACATAAATCATTGTCCGCATTCCTCTCAGCATAGATTTTTTACAAATGTACATACATTTAACTACATCCTTGTTTAAATAAAAATATTAGGGCGTCATATCCATTAACAATAGTACTGGCGTTAAAAATACCATGATTTGGTTTGTTTGTGTTTTACGTCCTATTAACAGCCATGGTCATTTAAGGACGTGTCCGGTTTTGGTGGTGGAGGAAAGCCGGAGTTTCCGGAGAAAAACCACCGACCTACGGCCAGTACCCGGTGAGTGCCCCGCGTAGGTCTCGAACCCGCGACCCAGATGACCAGAGTAATTATACATGTAATTAGAACACTAAAAGGTTGTAAAATATATCATTGCTTGTGTTTTGACCCGTTCCGAGCCCCATATATTTTGAAATAGGCAGAGAGGAGAGGATGACAAGGGAAGGCGAAATACATGTCTTACTGGTGGTACGTGTACATGATAGTTTCATTTTCACGTTTATCATATTTTCAGTAAGATTTATTTCCCTTTAGTTAGAAAATGATATAACGATTTGTATGATCACGCTCAGTGAATAAATGACGTCTTTCTTTAATAAATCAGTTTTGAAACTTATCACGCGGAACAAGATATACATGCTATATCCAGTTTTAAACAATACATTTACCATTCTATGTACTTTTCCAAGAATGTGAAAAGAAATTTACTTCCCCTTCCCCCTGAAAAAAGGACAGACAAGGAAAGGATTTTTTTTTGTGTCGCCATCAGGTTCTCTCCTCTGTGTTTTCACTCCTTCCGTGCTATCATCCCTTCGGGTTTAGGACGGTGGAGTGAAATATTAGTGTTTAAGGTCACGTTATAAACAAAGATCCAAAAGCGCATTATATATAAGTACACTGATCTTTATTGAAATTGAAGTCGAGCACTAAGTTTTCCTTTTATAAACATGCGCATTACCAAGCGAACGGAAAAGTATGATGGACCTCAAACAGGGTTTTGAGCAATCGTCGATGCTGAGGATATATTCTCCAAGTCTATCGACCAAAAAGTCCTCCAGCGTGGTGATGATGGTTACCAGCGACTCCTCCTGGTGGAGGGTGCGCACCTTTTGGGCATGCGCAAACGTATCCGTATTCTGGCAGAGCTGGAATATATTACATGCATAAAATCAGGCCGCATCAGTGTAGCATTGTCACGTCAAAGTGCGGTTTTTGAGAATTTTGATTCAATATTGTAAGAAGTTCCTCTGGGACAACGGCTATAGATATTAATGAAAGGTTAAAGATGTTTACTTTTAATTTATATTTGATTTCAGATTCACGTGTATTATTTAATTTAAATTTCGTTTGAAAATGTCAAAGGTTAAAATATTTTGTAAACGGAGATTTATCTTACAAAAACATTTCAGAATGCAATCCCTGGATAATAACGATGAAGAGGTACATGCATTAGGAATGAACTTCCGAACGATGAATGAACTAGTGAGACTCACATGAAGTGCTCGTACAAATGCCGTGCTGTGTTCGGACGTGGTTGGCGTGTGTTGGGTTACCCTTGTAACAGCCGAGGTAGTACGGGAACTCCGTATTCACATGATATCTGTAGTGTCCATGCACCATTCGGCCGTGACATTCGTCAAGATCCTTATTTGTGACGTCACGTCCGAGATCAGACGCAAGTGGTCCGTAGATAGGGAATCCGTCAAATGCGACCCCAAGGAGTTCGTCTTGCTAATACAGTACAGATATAAATGATTTGATTGTGTATTTTAAGGAATTAATTTAAAAAAAGATTTTCTCCAGATATATCTAAGACAGGCAGAGTATGGGGTTGAGGAGAACAATTAATGGATTTCTGAACGTTTCGTTTCCACATTTCTTCAAGGTCCAAGCCATCGTAATATGCACACTTCTAGAAGCGTTCCAAACGAGCATCATGGATCATCTCATCCCTTGTATTCCCATATCAACTTCGCTTTTTATATGCATCAATAGAGTTTAAAAAACCAGACAAATGCCTAAATTGTTACTATCCTTGACAGAGATACAATTTGTGTACATGTATATCATCATATCCTCATATCATCAGCTACATTTACTTCCCATTCCATTATTTTGATTATTTCAAAAACTGCCTTATGTTGAAATACATGGTTAACATTTATTCAATGACTTATTATTTCTACATCATTACAGCTACATCTTACTCATGACCATGCTACACATATGTACGACCCATTTTATCTTAAACACCTTTCTTTCTCTTATCACGTTTCTCTCCCACTCCCATACCACACCAGTCCACGTCCCATATTTCTATCCACCATCCTCTTATCACACCCCTCATCCCTCTTTCCATTGATGTTGTGTTTCCGCACACATCTTTGAGTTGCCCTACGTCCCTGTTCTCATATTGCAAACAACATTGTCACACATTTCCGTACCCATTTTTCCATAATTGTGATGTTCCCGCATACACGTGACTTTACCCGACCCCTTGTCCTTGTTCTCATATGATAAACCCAATCATTGCCATACATATCTTACCTCGCCCTTGTAAAGCCAGCTTCCCGGGAGTTTGTGGTAATGATAGATACCGTGGTTGTCGGTGTGGCCTCCATAGTGGTCAAACCTTTCTCTTCCCGAACCCTCCACAGCGTTTTCTCCGTCAGCGTCCAGAGGGTCGTAGATCATGGATCCTGAAGCCATGCAGAAAATATGTATTAACCTTAAAGAATATCATATTGAAAAAAATATATTTCTGTCGAATCAATGATTTTTTTCTTTTTATTCTTTTCAAGTTAAAAAAAAACCCCTAAAAGTATTGTACTAGTAATCTTACTGCATTAGTTTAATTTTGGAAATCCAACTGTATTTGTTATAAGCTGTACCAGGGCTGAGGGAATTATATGTACGCATACAAGATTACAAAATAGATAGTATCAAATACGGTGATGCGTCATCATGTTCAGCTAAAACATAGACAAATAATCACATTTTGTTTTCTTTTGATTAGTTAATCTAAAGTGTGAAATAAGAAAAATTCAACTAAAATATCCGCTTTTGTCTACATTTTTAAACTTTCAGAATTTATAAAAAAAAAATATCTTCACTTGTGTTATTAATGAAATTGAAATATTTCTAAGCATTAGCCAGTGTTAGTAACATGAGATACTACTTTAACCATAAAGGAAAATATTATTTTTAAATATTCTTTTTTTTAAGCATGTCCAAAGTGCAATTAAATGTCATATTTGATATAATAGTCGTCTCCCTTAAAATATTATGCTTGACGCTCCCCTGACAGCTATCTATCAATTATCCATGTGTTTATTTACTATTTGTACAGAACATTATTTTTAATGTGAACTTTTTTTTTTATAAACATATCTTTGTTATGAAGATTTGTCTTTGACCAATCAACTCCCCTCTTATGCGAATCATAAACCAGCTACGTTTTAACCAATCATTACCCTCGATCTATGTATATACACCTGTAACGGTCATCCCGATTGGGCCCATGGCGAGGCATCCTGGACTATTAGCCACTGTTGGTTTCTTTGGAAGGGTATAAACGTCACTGCGGGTCTCTGGGTGGTTTGGATTCACTCTTTCGAAAGGATGGTCGGGAAGACCGTTCGACGTCAAGGTGATGCTGAAAATGGCGGAAAGAACTGTTTTATTACATCAACATGTGTCTTACATTTACCAATATAGTGTTGATTTATTACTGTTTGGTGATGTATCAGTACGATCAAGATGTAAACATTTTTATAACTGCTCAACATTCTATAAAATCAACCAGAAGATTTACAAGCAGTCATAATTTTACTACATTAAGTTATAATGTTAACTTAGCTACCCATCCCAACGGGTAAATCTCCATCAGTTACTTTTTTTTATTCCTAATATCATGTTCTATCTTTCTTTCTTAGCAGTTTCTTATGCACATATTCAGGCTATCACTGCAAAGTTAAACATGTATTATCAGCTAAGGCTGTTATAAACGACGAGAAGGACTATGTGTACATCAGAATGAAAAGTCTATGTAATTGTACATTGACATGATTAAAATAGGGTTTAAACTAACATTTGCAATTTTGTTGCATTCATTGTCGAAGCCCTGAATGCTTTGTAATGATATACAAAAGAACACGATAAAACTACTAACAATTGGTAAAAGAGGGATAAGGAAATGAAAACAGAAAGAGACTTTAATTATTAGTACGTGCTGAACGGCCCGTCAAAACAGGATACGTTATTATTCTGTGATAGGTGTCCTAGCTACAGAGGAAGGCGTCGAGACGAGGTTGTCTTTGCCAGTCTCCCGCTTGGTCATGCATACGTAACCCGTTGTTATTTTTTGAATTAGATAGTGTAGACCTTCAGCCAACTAGTGGACATTTCTATAATAAGGTTACCTGTCTTAAATCTCTTTCCGAAGTGCAAATAAGTATCACTACAATTTCAAGCTACCTGAAAACTGTTCCAAGAGATATGAGTCATCATAGACACTTTTAATATTCAGAAAACTTAAAGAATATTAAAAAGGCATAGAAGCAACAGAGAAAAAGTCATGGAAACAAAGGAGAAGAACAATTAGAAAAGAAAGACAGATAAGGCAACATAGATGTACAGAGCATTTTTTAGTTAGCATGTCACCTTAAAAATCTGTCTGGTAAAATATAATCAAAACAACGATGTATTTCTGAGCACTCAAAACGTGTTCATTTTCTAAGAGAAACACAATGAATGATAAAATCAAGACAGGAAGCATTGCACTAAAACCATCCTCGTTGTTTTTGTGATTTATCTAAGTTTTACCAGCTCATAATAGTTGAGGCGTTGCGAATTTCTTTGGTTGGAAGTAAATTTCCTGAAAATTTGGTAAAGAAACAGTACTATATATTTCGCGCAAAGAATTAAATTAACTTCTTTCATTATACTTATAACTTTACCACTGAAATTCTATAATAGCGCGTTAAAGACGCTTGGATAATAACAGCTTATGTTAGTAAAAATCCATTTAAAAACAATTTACTTACGTGTCACCATTATCGGTGTAGCTTACAGTTCCGCCATAAGTTCCGGTGTTGTGGAACTTTGTGGCCTCATGTACGCTAATAGCACATGCACCACACAGCAAGGAAGCTAAAAGCAAAATTTGCTTCATCGTGAAATCTGGAAAAGATCAGATGTAAAAGTTATTTTGTTTAAAGAGGGCGTGAAAATATGCTTAAAAATACAACAATGTAATAAAACACGGGTTTGCAGAAGAAAATAAAATATCTTTACGCAACGAACATGAAAGCAGACAGCCAAATAAACACTAAACAATATGCGTAACTTGTTTCTCCTTTAAAAATAATGCCATTTTCATTATGGTTATTACTTGTACCTATATTATTCGGTAATTCTTTTGACATAACACAAACCACAAAGGGTTGCGAACCCTTTTTTTCGTTCATAATTCAACACTAAGAATAGGAACGAAATAAAGATTAAATTGATAAAATCACGTAAGTTCCACCTTTGTTGAATATTTCAATACGTTTTTATGATAATAATAAAAAGGGTCTACACAGATATATAACATCTCAAATTTGTTTATAAATATATTTGAAACCTACAGTTCAACATAAAGCATACGTTACAAATAGATGCATGGTTTTCAATTGAGACACTTTTAACTTGCAATAACATGTATACCTTTGCGCCCGTGAAGCAGTGAGGTCTATCGTATCCTGATTAAATTGAGACTCGGACAAATGTCAGCTGATTAAATACTGCCGATGAAATTCCTGTAATGACAGGATAATACAGAAGTTTAGATTCAGACCTTTCTGATAAACTTTCGGGTATACAAACTAAATCCACTGTGTACACGAGATCTAAAAACCCAGAAAGAGACCTTCACACCTTAACATGCACATTATAATGGTTCCAGACCAATGCACAAGCTGATACATATTTCCATTCAGCAGCCGGAGTCAGTTATGTTTGTGTTCCATAAATACAATGCAAAATTTAAATATTATAAAATATCTGATTTTCATACATCATAAATGCTTGTATAGAGTTCTAGGAGCTTTTAAGGGCAACAACTGTAAATCAGGTCAAATTCTTTATAATGCCCTTGCGCCTGCATGAAATCACAGAAGCTTGCAATTTTACACGGTCGTATTCTTAATAAGAAGAAGATAGGGAGCACACAAAATATCATTCCACATATTCTAATTGTTCCGTCTTTGCGTATTGCAGAGTTATTTTCTCATGAGAGCAGGTATTGATTGTTACGTCATTGGTTTGTGTGAGAAAATTAAGTCGTTTTCACAAAACTTGATGACGTTACTCTCACAAACAAATGACGTAACAATCAATACCTGCTTTCAAGAGAAGATTGCTCTGCAATACGCAAAGACGGAATTGAAACGGTGTTAGCATATCAATTATGGTCTTTTTAATATATTCACTAAGAAATCTTTTTTATTTTGCATTTGAGGAAACCCTGTTAATTGCTTTATAAGGACTTTAATTTTACAGTGGGATAATAAATCTCATCTTCGGAACTCAAGAGTCTGTTTTCGATAAACACAATTCTCCGCATCCTTGGAAGACGACGTGACGAAATGTAAGGTTTACGGTAAGAGACATGTATCAGTATTGAGAATTAAGCCTTTGGCGGCATTACCTATATGTAACCTTGTTTATTCATGAGAACTGGGTTAACACAGTGTTTGGTTGATGCCGTTTATCAGCGGATACCTTTGTCGCTGTGAATTATAGTTATGTGTTGGATAACGGTAAATTAAGGGAGAACATATTTAACATGCTTGCATCTCGTGTGTCTAGTGTTACTTGTTCACCTTGACTCTCATCGGTTGCGTCCCAGTTTTTGCTATATTTACGTCATTATACATGTCGTTGATGAAAATTCTTATTAGATTATTGTTCTTCATTTCTATAAACATTTAAAGCCTATTTGTTTCATAAGATTTTCGAACATATCGTAGAATATCATCAATTTGATGCACTTATTTATTAGCTGTAAATCATGATCAGAATATAAAACAAAAACTCGGAACAAAAAAAAAGAGAAAACTTTTGTGATTCTTCAGTTATTATGAAAATCTATTGATGTGATTAGGTCTTAAATAAGGTTTCGTTTGCTTTGGTTTAGTATTGTTTAACGCCCTATCAACAGCTATGGTCATTTAAGTGTCGTTCTAATAAGTTATAGAGAGTCAGTTAACAAAGACCCCTGTGAGGGGAAATAATAGACATATTGTATTTCACTGGAAGTCATTAGTTCTGTTTGTTTGTTTATGTTTTACGTCCTAATACAATGTAACAGCTTTTGGTCATTTAAGGACATGCCAGGTTTTGGTGGTGGAAGAAAGCCAGAGGTCCCGGAGAAAAACCATCGACCTACGGCTATTTCATGTACCTGGCGACTGCCTCGAACCCGCGACCCAGTGGTGGAGGGTTAGTGGTAACAGAATGGCAGACGCCTTAACCACTTGGCCACCGCGGCCCCAAAAGTCATTAGAGGCGACTAATGAGCCCACTCGAGAATCGAGGATTGCTTCGGTATCTTCTACGTAACTAATGTTGAAAACTTGTAAGTGAAATATATTTTCCTATACGGTGAACTGATTACAAAATGGTTAGTAAAAGTATTGCACTGCTTTCAGTTTGCATTTATAGGCAAAATTTACAAAGGCAAATCCAACATGAAGCGCCGTGCTTAAAAATTTTCCACGGCATGATATTGCAATTATACAACTGTATTTATAATTAAGGTTTTTAATGATTAAATTGTATTATTCAGCCTTTTATGCCATTGCTTAATTGTTGACGTCTCTTTTTTCTGACGCACAATTGTTACGTTAGGGTTTTAAATGACTCTACCATGAAGGGATCCGACTTTTAAGTATATACGATACAAACACTGTTTAACTGAATACCAAGTTTTGATAAGATTAAAACACTTGTGGAATTTATCATTTTCAGCGAGTCTCTATATTGTATATGTTTCATAACACGCTTAACAAGCCGTTGTAGACTTATTTATGTGTATTTGTAATGTTATGTATAGTAATATATATAGCATCTGTAGAATCAAATATTCCCGCGGTTCGCAGTAGAAGCGGGAATAATTTGACTCGTGCGGCACGAGCAGCAGAAGGCTGTCACGTGTACTCGTATGCACGGGTTATAGATGTTGTCAGCGTGGTCATTTCTAAACTTAATGATGTACAGGTTGGTTCTTATGGTGGTTCAGTAGGTCTGTTAATAAAAAAAGAGTAGGCAGCGGTCCAACTGTCACCTCAGAGAAATCGAACTTGCAGGGAAATAATATTTGTCTCGCTTTTGGATACAGGTTTCCGGGGGCTATCTTCGATTTTTCCTGTGCATGCAGGATGATTTCGATGATGGAGTTAGCTCTTTATTATCGTCTTATGCACCAGCGTGAAGTTGGTAACTTACTCAATATTGGACTAGTTTGATATTCAAATATACCTAACATAATAGTTCTTATGCCGCTTTTCACACCTATACCACAACTTGGCATCTTCTAAGGTATCCACATGCAAAACGGCATCAACGATACCCGAGGCTAAAGATGCCCATTGGGCATCATTTCGAATTTCAGTACATAATAATTGATTTTTTTTGTTTTCAACAGGCCAGGGTATATTGTAATAGGTCTTATGCCGCTTTTTCACACCTATAATACCACGAATATGTACAGGCAGTTGTGATAAATTAAAACCAAAATCGGGAAGTGAAACACAAGGACACCGTCACTGATGGTATGAAGAAACTGTTAGGTAACACGATCGTCAATTTCAACAACGGCCATATTTTTCGGAGTGTTAAAAACACTAACTTTATTGTTAAAACTTGAATAGTTCACTGTTAAATTTGTTGATGAAAATACAATTTTCTTGTATTTGTTAATTAAGGCTCAGTAAAATAAAATAAATACACTTATTAGAGTGAGACAGTGCATAAGGTGACTGATATCCAAGAGGTCACCCTAGGCACTGTCACACTCTAATGAGTGTAGCATTTAGAAACCAAAAATTAAAATTGAACAATGAATGCACACATGACAACTCAGTTCTTGTTCATTGTTAATTTTAACTTGCTGATGTTCATGAATCATAATTAAACACTGTCTTTGCGACGATTATTTAACAATAAAATACCGTACACGTTAGACCTCATCCATGTCATCCAAAAAACATCTTAACGATAATATGTTTCGTTTAACTCTGCTTACACCTAGTTTGACATTATATCTTAACAAATCTTCGTTAAGATTTAATCGCACATAATCCAATAACTAACTACTCTGCAACTATGCACATCTTTGCGCATCACTCGACATTATAGCATTTTGAAAGTACGTCATATGTTACAAAACATAATTAGCTGAAAGTCATACAACATCACACAACACAAGCGGTACGTTGGTATCAAAGTTTTAACACAAAGTATGTACGTATTAAACGTGTCGCAACGTTTCAAGACCGACAGGTCCCATTATCTGATGCAGTGTGTATACCCCCCTATTGATACTGTGTATTCGTTCCCTATCGAAAGGCAAAACGTCCCGGGTCGAGTGACATAAAAAAATATACAATTTCGTCACATCGTTGTACAGTTAAAAAGTACAAATTGCTCACTCATTCATAGCTTGACAAAGGGACCAGTCGGTCTTGAAACGTTGCGACACGTTCGATATGTACATTGTTTCTGTAGAAAGTAAAACTTTGATATCACATATTTCCAAACTGACGAATCTTATTGAAGACTAACGGTACATTGCTATAATCAACTGCTGGCAGTAAAGTCTATCCGAAATCAACCAACACCTACCCTTCTTCTTGATGCTGACAGAGAATGAACGCATACTCAATGACGTACTCATATATTTACATGTATATATCTATTGTACATAATTCCAATATATCTATCGCCATGATTAAATGATTATAATGCTTCTTTAACTACGCAACAGTTTAGTGTAATCCTATGTCTTAAGTCAGCAGCACAGACGACCTCATGTTTTGTTTTCGTACAATATTCACTCCTCACTTAAATGTTGTGCAATGTCCTAGTTACACAAATGAGTAAATTATCTTTTTATCATATATGATGAAGTCTTTGTAATAGATCAGCCGAATTTCCAAACCAAATTAACGACAAAGGGACCTGCAAATTGAAAAGGAAGCTGCATTCCGAAAGATGCCCCCAAAAATAGGGGAAAAGTCAGGACTCAAATGTGATAAATAAACGTCTAAATGATACAAGATGACCAACTCTAATACATAACTGTGATTCATAGCAACAATGACATTCACTGATAGTTATAAGCGGGATAGACAATACGGACACCTGCACTGATTTATGTTACAGTCATATATACTGACCTTCGCTTCTTCAAGACATTTACATTGACCGTAGTTTGTAAGAAAATATTTTTATTTCTACTTACGTTGGACACGATGCAAATACCAAATGTTACCGGTTCCATTTGCCGATGAAATTGACCAGATTAACATTGCCTGTGCGTATGAATACACATTTTCAGATTTTACGAAGGGAGATAATTATTGACATTTTAAACAAGAAACCACTTGTGTAAGATTTTACATTTATATTGAAGCTACACACGAAATTGTTCGAGTAACCAAAAACGACCAATCAACAAAATATTATCAGCTTTTGCTAGTGGTAGTCACAATTCATGTACTGCGGACAATAACGTTGATATTAATATTGC